AAGGTTGTATGAGGAAAAGGCACAATCATAATTCCACTGCAGTGGAATTCTTCTTCCACAGTCTTCTTCTCGCCGTGGATCACCTGTACAGTGATCTGACTTGGGCCCTAGGAGGAAAAAAAAGGGTAGAATCCATTGCTTAGACACAGCAGCTGCCACTATTTACTCTGCAGCTCAGTGTTCTGTTGATAGAAAATAGATGAGGCGCTAATTGATGCATGCCACCAGTAGTCCTCCATCCTGTGTGAGACAGGGGCTTTGCTACAGAGGCCCCTTTGTCCTCAGCTCCTCTGTATTGATTTCCTGGCATATTCTTGGATTTTTCTGAATAGTACAATTTGTAAGAGTCACAATGCTGGGACAGCTCAGCCGCTGCGTGTAGACGTCTGCAGGAAAACGCGTGGCTTCACTTTGCCAAAAAAACAATTGTAAAAAAGGAGTCGAGCTAAATGATTTTCTGTGCTACTTTCTCAACTGGATGGTCTTTAAACTAGCTCCCCCAGGAGATTTGCTTTTTTAGGCTGCCGGTCATTTTGATGCCTGCATGAGGGAAACACTGTTTAAACATATAACAGAAGCTCTATCCAAACCACACTTCCTTCGAGCAGAGACAGTACCAACTCAAGTCATTGTGCAGTGGGAGGATTTTTTATTTTTTTCCCCCTCTCGCTTAGTCACAAGGCTTTTCAAGTGGATATCAGACTGTGCATAATGTTGTGGAATATTCATGTATGCATGTGAATGCGCGTTAGCCTGGGACTTCAGTGCATTTAAGCACATCGTAATGGTCCAGACCCGCTTCGTTCCCAAAAGGGTTCAGTCTCCGGTTGTGAGCAGCCAATTATGCAGCAGGTGTAAAAGGTAGGTAATATCGTGTGGAAGTATCCAGTAAGCACACACACACACACACACACACACACACACACACACACACACAGACTAATTTGTTGCTGTTGCATTCATTCTGCGGATCAGCATTCTGGCGTAAACAAATCACAGGAGAAGAGCTTCTCGGTCTCAGTGAGCCTCAGGCTTCTGTCACATTTGTAGTTAGAGTTCCACAAACAGTATATTGCAGTCAGTGTTTTATTGCGCCAACACTTTCACCTAAAGAACAAACACATTGGGGGATCTAAGTAATTACTGATCTTTGCCACTGACCAGAATAAACTGTTGGTCCAACTGAGCATGCTGATCTTATGAGAAATGGGTTTCTATTTGAAGTAGTGCTCAAACAATGCCAATAATGGATTAGTCGATTTAAACTAATTTTATCAAGCAAACATGTGAAGCGTTTTGTGGTTCCAGCTTATCAGATGCCAGGCTTTGGTGCGTTCTTCGACAGTAACTCTTGGTCAGCGGCCCTAAACGTCAAACTGTGACGCTCCAGGTACCCCTCTAGCGTCAGTTTTGGACATGTCAGGGACGGCGTGTCACTTTCCTCTCGTTAGGTGTATACAGTCGTCTTTCAAAATAAACTTCCAATGTAGGTTTCGGTTTACTTGGTTAGGTTTCGGAAAAGATTGTGTTTTGGGTTCAAATAAATATGTTTGTTATGTTAAATGACTACGTTTTTTAAATTACCGGCATTAGTAAAGTACGGAAGTAAAAAAACGTCAGGTAAAATAGGTCAACGTTGACTTGGTCTCACTCAGGACACAAACTCTTTTTGACAATTTGAGTGGCTTAATGATATAATAGATCTATAACAGATAGAATCTAAAAACGGCCGACTGCATAAAAGCGATGATCCTGAAAGTGGGTTCATGCAGGCATAATCGTTAGTTTCAGATTGTTGCATAAAATGTTGGAGTTGAAGTTGCAACTCCAACGTCAAAAAGGTGTGGGGAGAGGAGTTGCCGTGGAAGCATTCAGTCAACTTTAACTCCTAAGGACCTGAAACAAAACTTAACCCAAACCGGTGTTATGGTCATTTTTGAGTGATTTGGAGAAAATTTACATTTTTAGTTATTGCTTGCTCCAAAAAACAATTTGAACAGTCGCATGAATAGAGTTGGAAGGGAGGAGCTATTCCAGTTGCGCCTGGTTTGCGAAGTAAAAGTCCCATTCATTTTCAACCTACAAAATATTACGTGTCTCCCAATTGGAGCACTTCTTCTTCGGTTTGGATCGACATGAAACTCTCCTGGTTGAATCATCAGTCCATATTATTAACAACCGCATTAGAAAATATGAAAGAACAAGCCAGTGCGCCTGAAAACTTCAGGGAAGAAGTCAACTACGGCTCTTGAAACTGCATTTCGACAAGAGACATTCAAGTACCGATTTGAAGCTTCCGAACGCCTCCAGAGATCCTGGTGTAGAGACATTTTTACTTAAAAAAACGTTTTCATCAACTAGATCGCATTTTGTTTACAACTGCGACGACAAGGCGTTTGAATTCACTCCCGCTCCGACAGGCTTCGTCCCAATAGCATCGGCCAGACTGGTGGCAATAAGGTAAATCTACAGAACGGTAATATAATCTGGCAGGGTTTTGTGTTTCTACGTTGAGTAACAATGAGGATATTGCAAAAAGAAAAAACTGAAATGGAAGCGCTACAAGAATATGATTAAAAAAGGTGTTTAATTCTGAGAGACATCATGCAGACCTTTGTGCAAACGTGGCAAACAGAACCATCTCGAGGTAATCTCAGAAGTAATCATCTTGCAAAATACTTAAATGATAAAATCTGATTTGGCTTTTGTTTACTGTTTAGGGAGGGAAGCCTTTAAGCTTGTTGGAGTGAAATGTGTTTGTGCAGAGCCATGGCAGGATTAACCTGTTTGCGGGGGCCCTCGGGGGCTAAAATGTTTTGTTCAAAACCTCCGTCGCCATCAAGTACAAAAGCCAGCCAACACCTGATGCAGTACTTAACGGTCTGTACTTTTCTGTGTGTCAGTACTTAACGGTCGGTACTTTTCTGTGTGTCAGTCAGCTTGAGGCGATATGATACAACACAGCAAAGAAAGGGCCCCACAAGATTAGGTAGGGCCCGCATTTTAAGTTTGATATTTCATTGTTTCAAGATGGCAACATCCCAAACTAATTGTCAAACGAATCAAGTTCCACACAAAGAGATGTGACACAGGGAAGCTCGGGTTGTCTGGGACTAGAGTTTGCAGAGTCGTATTTTTTGGGAGAGCGCCACTGACGGAAGTGACCCTTCACCTGTAGCCGATAGACAGCATGCGAGCTCACGCTGTCCATTGACAGCTCCCACTGAGTGTCCGTCATGCTAACGTTGTCCGTGCTGAGACTCTTGTCAGACACGAAAGGGGATCCGACGAGAGGGACTCTTTCCCTCTCACTCCGGTGTCACCTTGGCTGTCACGGCCGACTTCAATCCGTTTGGAGCCTGGAGTGAATTCTCCGGAGTGACAGTGGCGATTGCTAATCCGTCAGAATGATTTGGTGACAGGCGAAAGTGCTAATCCCCCCCGTGTTATTCAGTGTCAGTGCGAAGCGCCTAATCCTTTGCTAAGGGTCAGATGTAAAAAAAACCTAAAAGGGCTCTCTAGGGAAAAACGGACGTTCACGCCTCCAATACACACTGGTATTAACACTGCCAATATTTACTGCCACTATGTGTATTTTGTAGTGAATGTGATTTGATTCTAAGCCAAAAGCGTATTCGGGAGGTGATTGGCAGCAGAGCGAAGAGACATCTTGTTCCTCAGGCGAATAGAAATCATTCAAACGCCTTCAGGGGAAGTTCCTTCAACCTGTTTTCGGGGTAACACTTTTTGTTAGTGGAGAAACTGACTCATTTTTGGAACGTATCAGGTTTGAGAGAGCGTAACATTTAAACATCAAGATTTTCCTTTCACAAAATGTTATTTAAAACTTTGGTTGCCGAAAGAAGCTGTGGATGCGAAGTGATGCTGCTGCAGCTTAGTTCTCCCCCCCCCCCCCCCCTTTCTAAATAACAACTGATCTGAAGCCAGTGAGAACATGTTGCGGCTTTGGCACGAAACGTCCACACGAGTTTAAACATATGTCTGAAAAAAGAGAACCACCCAGCATTTCAGGCTTCCGTCAGATTCTTCTTATTAATAATTGGTAACAGGCAAAATTACTTCCTCGAAAATGTGTAGCTGAACACGGAGAAAGTAGCAGGTCCCACACTGACATAGTTTGTAAGTGGAGGAGACTTTCCAGGGAATGAGAGGAGTGCAAGTTCTCAGAGAAAGAAATTTTGTAATGAGAGCATATTACGAATGCAAATCCCTTGGCGGCTAATAGGAAGTGACTGACTTTTAAAGCTAGTATTAATTATACGAGCTGTCAGGAGCATCTTGCTTTAGCTTCCGATACCTAATGTCGAAGTGATTTATTTTCCAGAGGAAATGATGGAAATGCATGCAGTGACCCAGAGGTAGTGTGCAGAAAATAGACGTCCCCGAGCAACTGTATATGAATTGCAAACTTTTATTCAAACTGCCCGAGTTAATCCCCTAATTATTAGCACTCTGATGCAAATGGGTATTGTTGACTGTGGGCCCTCTCGTTCACAGAGATGAATCATCTTCTCTCTGACTGAATGAGAGGCCTGAAGCAGGGAGGGAGTGAGCCGGAAGGGATTTGACAAACAAAAGGTCTAAAAGAATATCTTTTGATTGTAGAGCATGCATGTAGAATTGGACACAATTAAGAGAACTGTGACAAGATCGATGCCACTCTCGTGTCTGCCTGGTGATCACACAAAGCCTGACATGAAATAATTATCAGATTTTTTTTCTTTTAAATTCAGGTATTTAATAAAACTTTTGATAAGCATTTTTTAATATCAGGGAAATCAAATTTGTATATATATGATTTTTTTGTTTGTATCATAGATTATTCTTTTATGCCAATCTCAATTGTTTATTTAAGTAACAAAATATATTTATTTATTTTATTTTATTTAGTAATCATTTTTACCAATATTTTACATATATAGGATATTATATGTATATACTATATTGATATTACATTCCTATTATACATGTATGCAGAAACACATGTATATTATATAGATCAAGACGTGTTGCTCCCTGTATTCACGTTGTAATGCTATGATGGGTTGAACCTGATTCTTTTGATATATGCCATCTGTAAAAGGCTATTGCATCACATCTGCTTATCTCTCCCAGTAATTGAATCCAGCTGTTTTGTATTGACTCTTATCAAAGCATCAGTCCTCATGAACGCGACACAGACACGAGACGCAGGAAGCCATTGTTGTTTTCTCTTCTCAAAGTAAATACAAATGCCTTATTTGAGGTTCCTGGCTCTTTTCAAATGAGAGCACTTTCCCTTGTTCCCATTTCCTCCGAGATCCAGAGAAGCGTCTGTTGAATGTTAAAATCAAGGATGGGCTTTAATCAATACTTGCGATCGATGTGGTCAACATATAATTGCAACAGGCCCCAACTCGGACAGTACAAATGCCTCCCCTGAGTTTTGTGGCGAACACGTTGACAACAAGAGACCGTCTAACATCAGCTGGCTCCTTTTGCTTCTTCTTCTTTTGAATAGATGTGAGTTAACACTTGACCTTTTCAAGCGGCGACGCCTCTTTGCCGTCGTGGTTTGGCGTCATCTGGAATCGAAAGAGACAAGAGTCCTGAAATGTACAGTATATCCACGGGAGTTCTCCTTCACCGGGAAGGGAAAAAGCAGACGTTTCATTGTGTGCAGATTTTCTCTGGTTAAGTAAAAACCTTGTACGTGGGTTATTTTTAGAGTGTTTAATAAGTTTGTTAGGATTTCACACGAGCTTAAAGGGAAGATAATCCTCACCCCTGCCCCAGCTGCAGCGAGCCTCGGATGCCCACCAAACTTGGAACTGAACGATAAAGCACTTTTCAAAAATGCATTACACTGAACTTGTTTGCTGAAGATAACATTATTAGAATGGTTGCAGGGAGAGTAAAAAAAAACAACAAAAAAAAACAGCTGGAATATGTTAAGACTCATTTTGGTGAACGGGGAAGAGGCCTGCGAATCCGTGGTGGTACACATAGACCATGAAAAATGGATGAGCTCTACCTCCCGAGACTAAAATTAGACAGGAACCTAATATGCTCAGTGTCCTTCAAGTAACACTCTGATTTATAAGCAACAACAAGAGACTCAGGGTGAGAAAAAAAAAAAAAGTCTACCGTTCTACAAAACAGTCGCCAAGATAGGTAGAGAAACGTAATGCCAGTCGACACAGCGTGGAGAATCAGATTATCCCTTTTGGAGGAAACCTAAGCAGCCATTGAAATGAAGCAATGGAGTCTTTTTTAAACAATCGCATCACACAATATGATTACTGCGTGACTGTCCTTCAGTGACTACGCTGCTGCAGAATATAAAGGATAAACGTACAATGTAGTATAAATATTGATACACAATTTCCTGTACTGTCAGCCACAGATTTGAGCGTGTGCATGTTGATGTTTGTGTGGCCTTTGGCAAGCAGCTGGATGAGCAGCTTAAATAGTTCATTAATTAAAGAAGGACTTTAATAGGCTTCTTTTTTTTTTTTTTCACAGGCTTCTGGAAGAAGCATCTGTAGAGAACACCAGTAATTAATTGCTTACTAGCATTTAAAAGTGCAGCCTTAATGGCTTATTCATTTGTCAATTAAAGCTCTTTTATTTGTTACTGTAAATCAGTGACTCAAAAACTACCCTGAAACTTCTTTGGTTCCCAGCTTTAGGAGAGAGCAGCTCATCTTCACAAATATCCACTGAACTTTTCCAGGCCATGGAGATAACATATCGGAATTCTTAATTTAGGTGGTGCTAAGAGATAATTGCGAGATAATAAAGGTTGCATCAGCGATGGATTTACAACATGTTTTGCTGTTGAGGTCTCCGTTAATGACCGGCGTGAGCGTAAAATGCCAAGACATAAATCTTAATTGATACTTGTGGGCCACTTGGGCGATTTGCGTCATTAACATGGATTTGCAGTCGTGATTGCATCTACCTGAAAGTCCAATAATCGCTCTCCTTTTAGCTCAGCTTTGATCTCCACCAGGCCCTGAGGGAAATACTCTTTAGCTGTGGAACACTTCAGTGTGTTCGCCAGCTTGTTGCTAACATCTTACATTCGTCGTCTTACATCCTGGTGATAATTCAAGTGACACCTGTACTTTTACACATAGCTGTTTGATTTATTGTTAATCTGACAGCATTGGATTCAGACGTGTTGAAAGTGTCACGGAAATGTCATGAGGCCTGAGCTGGCGAGGTTGCCGTCACAGCCTTCAGACATGTGAAAATCACCGTCGTATCTGTTTTGTTGTTTTCGAACGTGTTATACTTATATGACAAACTTATTTTAAGCCCCCCCCCCCCTCTGTCTGTCAGTATGAGCAAACACCGACTAAGTATTAACTGGACTTTTCTAAATCCAGAGACTGCAGGGTAAAGAAACCTCCCTTGTGAGCCTGCGGCACAGCAGACGTACAACAAGCCACACGCTGGGAGACAGGATGCGCTGTTGATGGCTCAACAAAGCAACGGCTTCGGAGGAAACGCGGCCAGCGGTGTGGAAAGGAGCCGCTTAATTGGCAGAGTTTGAATGCACAAGCACTAATTAGCCGCGAGGAGCACGGTTCAGCATCCGATTCCCAACAGCGTTCCGAAAACTGCGCTGACATTTTGCACTCTGCAGGGTGGTCAGTGGGTGTGCAGACTCCCCAGAATAGAAAATGCACAAGGCTTGTTAGCATTTGTTGTGAATGCACAGTGAATTATCATTAATCTGAGCTCGGGCGACGCCGATGTTAAAAGTATTGGGGATTGCTTTTTGCACAATCCACATTTGTGTCAAAGCTGCAAAGTCTGCTTCTCCTCCTCTGCATCTTCTGTGTAATAACACGGACGAAAAGGCAATCAGCGCTGATTTCCTGAGTCAGAGACAACTTGATGAATAGAACACGCATCCCTCATGTTTTTTTTTAAATTCAGTGCATCACAACAAGCTCCCCCTCTGAATCAGAGTCAAATTACATTTAAAACACAGTAAGCGGGACGTAAACACAATTTGCACGTTTGTTTGTGCGTCCACGCGTAGAAGCGTAAAAAAAAAAAAAGAACGATCGGTTTAACGACGCGTCGCTTCAGGTCAATCATGCGGAGTATGTCGTGTTATGTGCTCACACTGCGGCAATAATCGCCTACATGTGAACTCTCTCATGTGAAATAATTCCATTATTCATGCCCGCTATTATATCTGGAAATGAGCAAAGCATGCCCATGTTTTATATTTCAAGGGAAAACAGCAGGATGAATACTTACTCTGCACGGTTTACCACTCCAGTGATCCAAAGTGACAAATGAAAAATTCTAAGAGAAATATATGCTTATTTTTTTCTTTTTTGGGGGGGAATAAAAGTGTGCATTAGACTTCTTTGCAGAGGTTGTATTGGGTAAGATTAATGTCGAGGAAAACAACAATGGCTTCTTTCCGAGGAGTTGGGCGCAAAATAAGTGAATTCAAAGCCTCATGTTTGTGAGGCGGTGCGAAGAGGAGGAGAGAGGATTTATAGTGGAGATTATTATGCACAGTCACTGCTAAAGCCACCCATGCCTATAATGCTGTCTGCCTAACCACACACACATATTGGGGTAACTGTGCTACTAGCATTAGCTTAAAGTCGCGGCACTGCAGACAGCACATCTCACAAAGATGCAACACAAAGCATTGATTCCATGGACACCTGAGGGCGGGCGCGCAGTCTGTCAATACAGGTCATTATTAATTCATAAATCATTTTCAAGCGATCAATGTTGTAATTTGGAGTAGTTTTAAAAAACTAATTGGCACAGTCCAATTAAGTTATTTTCAGTGCAAAAAAAGCATTTGCTCTGCTCCTGTAAAAAGACGTAGATCTGGAAAGTGGTGTGTTAATGAACGGGGCTGTAGCTAGTGGTGCTCGTTGTGTCGAATTAAAATCAACATGAGCGTTGCTTTGAGTGTCATCGTAGATCTCCAAGAAGAGCTGGAATCACTTTCTCGAGCTTTACTTGGTTAAATTCACATTAGAAATCCCGGTCAACTCAAGCAAACAAGGGTTTTATGTAATCTCGTAAGTGTGGCTTTCCTGTTTCTTCATGTATTTCTGCTTTATCTCTATTTATTCTTCCCTCTTCTCTCTCTCTCTCTCTCTCTCTCTCACAGTGACTCATGCATCACCCTACAGCTGCTTTTTCGGCTGTCAGATTTTCCACAGTTTCACTGACTCTAATCCAATTCAGAAGCAAATCCCAAAACGCCCAACCCTGTAGGCTGCCCTTCTCAATGACCCACCTCGCCATTACCATTTACCCAGAATTCTGTGGGATCTTTTGTGTTTTCCGTCTTGCCCACGACACGGTTGGCTCCGAGTGTTTCCAAAAGATATAGCATGGGCTCGAAGGGAGTCAAGAAATTGCCACTACAGTACTGTATGTGTGCCACCTAGGTCAGCCCAGATCAGCCTATTAGAGACATAGCTGTATGTAGGCCACTCGCAGTGGTGAGTCATATGCTAATTTTGTGCTATAGATAACTTCAAGTCTGTAAAACTATATTTTAACTTCCTTTATTAATTGTGTTATCACCTTATAAAGTCAAGTTAGCAAACAGCTAATCTACTCATCCAACAGACATGGAGCAACATTTGGAGTTGTGTCTCGTATAAAGTCTAATATTCACTCTTTATCTAGCTCTGATTTGGTCTCTAATGGGGGAACTATCGTCGCTACATTCTCCGCTATAGTTCGAGGACTGCGCATTGTTCGGAAGGCCCCTTATTCCAACAACCCAATAGTCAAAAAAATGTCCCATTGAACCCAAAGCCCATTTGTCCGATAGCCTGTTATCCCGAAAACAATTCTTATGAACGGCTAATTATTATGCAGAATTATGTTATTGGACCTTCCCAATTGTTTCTACTGCCGGCGAAGACATGACACACCATTCTGCTCTTCTTACTTGTTGCCTTTGTTGGTTGGGTTGGTTTAGGTTCAGGCATCAGGAGTGAGATTGGTTAGGTTTAAGGTGAGAATATCAGGGGCGGGTAGGTCCGATCATGACACTTTGCAATATAATTAGCCATGTGCCTCTGTTCGTTGCATGAAAAGTGTATATTTTAGGAGCAATGGGCCTTCGGAGCCATGTCCGTTTGTTTTCGGGATGACGGGTCATCGGACAAATGAGCTTTCAGTCCAATAGGACATTTATTTTCAGTCTATTGAGGTTTCAGAATAATGGATGGTCAAAACAATGGCATGACACCCTACGTTCACCAGCTAAAGTTAAACACTAGCTTTGTCTGTCGGGCAGGTAGCGTACAATGGGTTTATCAAAAATGAAAACAGTCTTTGGACGTAAGAACCAAAGCAATGAGCAGAGAGATAAAAATGCTCCTTAGCACTGAGGGGAACTGCAGAGTTATATGATAATTACCACTATGAGCAAGACATGACACATTTTCTTCAATGCTAGTATAAAAACTATTGGTGCAGCTCTAAAAGGTCAGTGTAATTATCTGCTAATGTGCCAGTAGATGTGATGATGTGGTTTAATGAAGGCAAAGCAATGAGATCACAAAGTACAACTTTGTAATCCTTCGAAATGTTACTTTTAATTGTTCCGTGTAGTGTTTCTTAAATGCGTGACCACATTTCCAATGTACCCAGCAGCTTTCTGTTCTGTCTCCTTCCTCCTTACCATGTTGGAAGAGATTTGTATTCCCATCTGGCTTTCACTCCTTCCACCAACTGTCATTGCTGGAAAGCCTGAAAAAGCTTCATTTCTACAGTATTTAACTGTAAAAATAGAGGCCTCGTTAAAACAACCTACTAAATCTCCAACTAACTGTGAACAGTTGCCACAAAATACAAAAGACAATATCAGCTGCAGAAGCCACCACTTCTTTCAGCATTTATTCCTTTTAATCTTAGCCGTGTTTGAAAACCACATTCTGCCATATAGAATTGTAGGATCACATACTATTATATCGTATTACAGTCTGTCAACCTGTATCTGCTGTCCATTCAGTCACTCTGTGGTGGGAGAAACATGTCTTAAAGGCAAACAACTGAAAACAAAAAGCTGTTGTATGCCAGATATGGATTAGGGACATGAAACAGACTGCTGGTCTTCAGCAGGATCAGAGCTTTCAAGGTAATGCACTTGAACAAGTGCTGAAATAGTATTTTTAGTCTTTATTTGATCAGTTCTGCACTCTGAAAGCTCGGTCTGGACAGATTTTTATTATTTATTATTATATGTTTTTTTGAATACTTAAAATACTTTTACAGTTATTTGAGTAATTCAAGTTTTTCCAGTGGCCTATCAAGGATCCTGAACTGTCTTTCTTCTAAGGTTTAACTTCATAAATAGCACAAAACAATAGCCATTTTAATCATGATGTTCTTTCTGATATGAGCTTAAATACCTTACAAGGCCATAGTGTTTTTCAGCACTGCTTGCTGCATGACACACAGCTCTCCGACAAGATCACCAGAGCAGTTCCCCACCGCAGCAGCAGACAACTGGACTGTAATTATTAAACAGAGAGGCAGAGAGGAACGGGCTGATGGGCAAAGGCAGACAGATAAATACACAAAGACAGAAGCGGGCTTGTGGACGGATAATAAGGTAGACAGACAGAGATAGTTACCAGAGCACCAGATGGATGGGCAACAAGACAGGTCGACAAATAGCAAGGCGGCCAGAATGACAGATTGGAAACACCTTAAACTGGGCTCTATAGCAATGAAACTGAACTTACAGGGATGTATTCAATTTGTGTGTTCTCTCAACGCGAGGACCAAAGGAATTCGAATTTTAAAAAACGTCGCCCGCCTTACTCTATTTCTTCCATTTTTTCATTAATGTGATTGGCAGACTACATAGAGCGGATGGGAGTAAGGGTTTGTAGTTGCTGTGGCAACGGCCTGCTCTTTGTTAAAGGCTACATTCCTGGCATCTGATGTTTCTGCGCTGCGATCGATAGAAAACCCAGCCTGCAGGAGGGACTGATGAACGGACTCGGGCTTTTGCCAGGCCAGGTAGGACCGGCAAGAGATAGAGAGAGAGAGAAAGGAGTAAGGTGGAAGATGTGCGAACAGGAGGACGGAGAGATAAAACAGCAATAGGTAGAAAGAGGGGAGATATGGAGATGCGAGCGGTGCAGCTGTTGAGCCGGGTGGAGGGGTGAGTGCTGTGGGGAAGAGGAGGGTGTGTGTGTGTGTGTGTGTGCTCTCTGACTCCTTGCCTCATCTCGGCTATTTTCTGAATGTCACTCACTTCACTATCAAAGTGTGTGTCTGTCTGTGCACTCATCATCTACTTGCCTTTTTGCTGGGGAGATCTGCGAGCAGTCTGAGCGTTTTTTTTCCCGTTTTTTTTAAAGACACCTTTCATATTTTTAGCATGTTTTCTTTGCCTTTGCGACGTGCGCTCAAAATTTCCCACCGCTCACAGATGCGCCTGACGTTTTGCACACCTAATTGGCAAAGATGGCCATGAGCGGAATGCAGATAGGACCGGTAATGAGGCAATTATGGTCAGCCTCACTGTCTACACAGCCATCTGTCAATTCAACAACCTGTGGCTGCTGGAAGGTGTTTTTCTGTCAAGGGCCGTGTCTTTCCAAGCTGTGAGGAGGCATGGCTCTCGGAGAACATAGTGTTTAACAGTTAAACTGTGCATCCCTCCCCTCATCACCCTGCCGTTATCCTGTAGAAACCTGGAGCCACGTTTCACAGAGGAAATGAACAAAATGTAAAAGAAATGACAGAAGAAAAAAAAATTTTATGTATTGGTTTTCACATGTAACGTGCAGTTATCTTCCTATGCAAAGCAGAAAGTGCTGCCATACCAATATGCTTCCATGAGCTGAGACTGTGTGTGCCACAGAGACGAGCACATCGACTGCAGTGATGTTACCCTGCCTCACTGTTCGGACTGGGGTTTAGCCTGCGAGTGATGCGCACACATTTGAACATCAAGCGGCTCTATCGTGAGAAACCACTTTACTGATTGCTTTGAAAAAAAGCCGGGTCATTTCAGGAATAACTGTAACGCAGCAGAATACAACAAATACAGAACACAAAGAAGCAGCCAGTAAACGAAACCTGAACAATGTGGAGCAATGACGCAAATATAAACTGTTTTTTTTTTTTACAGTTCTTGTGCCCATTGCTTGCTTTTTTTAACTGATGATTAAACAGGAGATGTATGCATTCTCTACACATGATTTTTAGCGATAAATATAGAAACGTAAAATGAAAGAATGAGCCAGTAACTCTGTGGATTGACTTGTAGGAGCAAACATAAGCTCCCATTTCATTTCCTGTTCAGTTTGTCTTTTAGTTTGAACTCCACCCCACCCCCTTCAGACTCACACACATGTACAAACCATTATCGTTGATGCGAGCTCCACAGTCGCACACATGCAGCAAACACCGTACCCACATGGGCATTTCGCCTCGCTGCACTCTAACGAGGGGTCTTTTCTCGCCATCGGGCCAAAACATTTTCCATCCTCACGCAACAGCCACCAGTTAGCCTGCAACCTTTTGTGCTAACACAGTTGATGAACGTTCACATTTTTCCGCAGCTGATATTTCTCTTGCTGTGCCCTGCTGCGAGTTTAATTACATTTTATCCACCTTGCCAGGAAAAGCGACAGTTCATTAAGGGAGAAAAGGCTTGACAGTTTAAAGAGACATAAAGTGTAAAAGGTTGAAAATGCGGCGAGAGTAGGTGAAGACAGACTGAGTCGAGCCGAGCGTGGAATGTTCTAACACATTTCTTGTTCGTGTACTGTGTCTTGCAGGGCTTGTTCGTGATGGTGCTCTGTATGGACAAGAAGCTGTGCCATGACAGAGGGCAACGTGGGTAAAAGAGACATGCGACACCCAGCCCTGAACCACTGCCACCTCTTCCTGGGCGGGGCCTTGCTGCTTCTCCTGGCCAGCCCGACCCTGAGCTGCCCCGCCCGCTGCGAGTGCTCCGCTCAAACCAAGTCGGTCAGCTGCCACCGCAAGCGCCTGCCCACCATCCCTGAAGGCATCCCCATTGAGACGCGCGTCCTGGACCTCAGCAAGAACAAGCTACGTATCATCACGCCGGACAACTTCTCCTCATTCCAGCAGCTGGAGGACCTGGACCTCAGCGACAACCTCATCAGCGTGGTGGAGCCCGGCTCATTCCGCTCTCAGCTCGCTCTCCGCTCGCTCAACTTTCGCAGCAACTTGCTTCAGCTGGTTCCCGCCGGCGTGCTGTCGGGCCTGACTAACCTCACCCGCCTCGACCTCAGCCACAACCGACTGGTGGTTCTCCTGGATCATGCCTTCCAAGATCTGCGAAGGGTGACATCCCTCGAGGTGGGCGACAACGAACTGGTTTTCATCTCTCAGCGGGCCTTCACGGGATTACTTGGACTCCAAAGTCTGACCCTGGAACGTTCCAATCTGACCGTGGTTCCTACTGATGCTCTGGCACACCTGCACAGCCTGGTCGAACTGCGCATGCGCTACTTGAGTATTAGTTTTCTAAAGCCTTTCTCCTTCAAGAGGTTATCACGTCTCCGCCGACTAGAGATCGATTACTGGCCCTGGCTGGACACACTGCCTCCCCTCTCACTGCACGGCCTCAATCTCACGACGTTGATCATAACCAACACCAACCTGTCTGCCTTCCCCGGCGCGGCACTGCGCAACCTGCCCTACCTCACACATCTCAACTTGTCCTACTGCCGCATCCAGCACATCCATCAGGGAGAGCTGGGCCAACTCCCACACCTGCTGGAGCTCCACCTCCAAGGGTCTCATCTGATTTCTATTGAGCCCTTTGCATTCGCGGGCCTCAAATCTTTGCAGCTACTGGATGTGTCACAGAACCGCCTGGACTCTCTGGAGAGTGGAGTGTTTGCCTCGCCAGACATCCTCCAGAGGCTCTGTCTGGGTGGAAACCCATTAGTGTGCGACTGCAGATTGCTTTGGCTGCTCAATAGCCATAAGCCCCCCTCTCTGCAGATTCTGGATGTGCAGCCAGAGTGCAGTGCCCCGGAGCACCTCCTGGGGAAACCACTCCGTGACCTCAAGGAGCCTCTGGTCTCCAGATACATGACCTGCACCAAACCCCGGATTGGACCCAACACGACCCAGCTGCTGATGGCTGATGAGGGTCAGCCGGCCCGCCTGAGCTGCACGGCGGAGGGAGCACCTCGGCCCTCAGTGGTGTGGATTACACCTCACAGACGCTCCATCACAACCAAGAGCAGCGGGAGGGTGGAAGTCCAGCCAGATGGTACCCTGGAGATCAAGGAAGCGGAGCTGCATGACAGCGGTGTGTACTTGTGCATTGCCAGCAACCCTGCCGGCAACGCCAGCCTGTCGGCCTCTTTAGCTGTGAAGAGCATGGGCATTGGGGACAGATCTCACTTTAGCAACAGGAGCTCAAACTATCTGACAGACTCTAATAGCACATGGGGTAATGGGACAGTACTGTACAACATGACAGTCCCCATAGACCTCAAGACTATCATTATATCTACAGCAATGGGCTGCCTGTCCTTCCTAGGTGTGGTCATCTTCTGCTTCCTGATTCTGTTCATCTGGAGCCGAGGGAAAGGACGCCATAAGAGCAACTTTGATATTGAGTATGTCCCTCGCAAGTCCAACGGGGCGGCATCAGACGTGACAGAAACAAGTGGCCCGCGACGGGTCAACATGAAAATGATTTGAAAAAGGATGCAGGCTTACGCATACGATAGCGAAGTCTACAACAAAGTGCACATATCAGCTGAAAAGAAAAAAAAAAAGTTTTTTTTCTATGACTCAGTGGATTTGTGACAAACGAAAGTGACGTACTATTTATAGTGGGTGTCGATATGGCAGTGATCTAGTGATAAAGTGGGCATGTGAATATAAAAGTGATCTATGAAACCGTGGACGTGTTTATATGAAATAATGTTCTTATACAGTACATTGAATATACTACTATAACCAACATATCAATATGGGAGTGATATAGTGCTGCACTAGGCATGTCTTTCAGTGGTGATGTGATGAGTAATGATGTTGTCGACCCGTCGTGACATCAGGGTGCAGGAGGGAGCCGTTGGGAGTGACGGGACATCTTCGCGTGGCAGTAAAGCCGTCATCGCTGCAACATGTCAGGACTAAATCGTCGAAAACCCATCTTAGCTGCAGAATGGAAGGGTGTGCGAAGTGTTCATGTGTGCGCGCGTGCGTGTCTGTGTGAGTGCATCGGTGTGCGCATGTTGCATATGTGCGTTTCTTTGTGCATGTGCACGCATTGCCTTTTCTCGTTGGACGGAACAATTCAAGCGGACGATGGATCCAAAGCATTTTTTTCCAGGCCTTTGTTCGTGTTCGGTCAGTGCAACAACAGTATTGTCACTGTTGACTAAAACAGAGGATTATCTATGTTTGTATGCAAAAATCACAATGATTATATTAAAAGAGAAATACATTTTGAAAAGGTCAAATGACTCCAACATTAAATGGGGATTTCAAGGAAACGCTAAACTAACACACAAGTAGTTCCTATGTCAAAATGTCTGAGCTTTCTTATTACCATAGAGCTCCCTCGCACTTTCCCGGGGAGATAGCAGTGGTCGGAGCCGTTATTACTCTGGAAAAGCTTCCAGCCACAGAAATGGCATGTTGAACCCATTTTATAACATAATAAATCATGGGCAGATTTTCCTGCCGAACAAATCCCCCGATATGATATAAAAGAGTCGGTGACGAGACAGAATGGCAAAGATTTACTGGCCGGTGCCCTCTTTGGGACAAGACCAAGTTGAGCGTCACAGATTTATGGGATGTATTCCCCCCTGTCACATTTTTCTTTGATCGCACCACTTCAAGCTAGCGTGTCCAGATTCTTCCCTCGGGTGCCAAGGGGTTCTGGGTATTTAATAGATGGCAATTTGAAAGTTGTAGTTGAAATCTTGTGTTGTTTAGTTTTTTTGTTGAAAATGTTTTAAATGTTTAAGAGAAAAAAGAAAAAAATAACAGTAAAACCAATTAAGGGCAATTGTTTGTAATGCAGGGAGGTGGGTGTTAACTTGTGATCCTGTTGTGATAAAATGTTCAAGGTTGTATAATTGTTTTTATAATATGACAAATTTATGGGTATATTTTCAAAAGGAAATAAATCTTAATCATACCCCAATAATTGGACTTGCGGTAGTTGAAATCTTGTTTCCTGAATTTACATTGATGTCAACATATTTTATTTTCAATCCTGTCCTATTAATCCTTTTCTCTAAATTATATCAGTTATGATATTTAAAATTTATCTTATAACCCATGATGTTTCTCTGTCACTCAATATTGTATTGATCTACAGTCATGCCTTTTTCATATTCCATATATCATGTCATATAGTAAACCTTCTGTTGTAACAACTCAACATTTATGTCATCTTTACTTGTATGGTCAGTATAATATTACCGTATCCTTCTTGTATTTTGCAGGATGGCTCAGTCTGTGTTGCCTGGACAGACCTTGTTCTTCCAGCTGGCTGTCACATGTGTTTAAACACTAGTCAAGCTCGAACAATGTATTTGTTTAGGCTGTTCTCATACAACGTACGTAGCTGTACCTAAGAAAAGTGATGCACTCTAATTTGTATATATTCAACAAAACCACTGTTTATATTCCGCGTGTATCCTGAAGTCACAATGTTGTTACGTAACTTCCGTACTTCCGTAACGGCACTTTTAGTTTAATCCGAAGCACGATATTTTCCTAAACCTAACCAGGTAGGTTCCTGTAATGATGGAAGTTTACTTCAAAAAGACTGTTGTGGGAGATATCCACACTAGGACTAAAATACTGCTCTTATTTGGCTCTTGGGATAGCAAAGTCGTTTGTTTGGTCGATTGTTCCACCACTTTAGTTTGCACAGTTCGCCAATAAATTTGGTACAAACATTGATAGTCCCCAGAGTATAAATACTAAGGACTTTGGTGAACCCCCGACTTTTCCTCTAGCACCACCATGAGGTTGACATTTTTTGTTTTTAATTAAATGTCTCCGACTTCCTGCCTGTAACCCAAAGCTCTCCTGCTTGTTGTCCTCTCAGTTCAGTATTGTCTCATGGTTTGGGCTTCTTTGGCATATCTTTTCTCACAGCAACAGAGTCATGGCAGTGCTGACGAATCCTAGATTGTGTATTCATATTCAAGCTGCTCGAGGTTGCGCGCCCTGATCTGACTGTGCATAATGCTTCCATGTGGTCCAGATGGGGATTGGAAAACTGTGACGGCGTGCATGTTTTTTGCTGTTCCCACTGATCAGAAGACATCAAAATTGGGACACAGAATTGGGACACTTTGAGCTGCGGTTATGCGTATGCAGGCTGAATAGCCTGTGAGCAAGCAAAACATACACACACACATTACATGACCCGACACTTAGTCAAGGTGACACCACACTTGACTTACCTATGGTCCTATAAGTATATTCTAACCCAGGCAAAGTACCACTCTGATGAAGAGCTCTTAGCAGCTCCCTCCTCCACTGCCTCACCTGGCAATCATATGAAAGGAAATGCTAATTTGGTATCCCGCTCAAACAAAAAGCCTCTTTTTCAGACAGCACTTCATACTATCATGCTAACGGTAAAAAGAAGATCTGTCTTCTGTGTGTGAAAGCTTACAGGGAATATTCAGGCCGCCGCTCTGCAATCACGAAGACGAGATCAAAGTCCCTCCGATAGGCTTTTATTGTTGCTGTTTGCAGGTTCCCTTTTACCGAGAGAGTGCTGTATACAATGGAGAAGAAATGTAACGCAAGTGTCACCGTCTCCTTTCCTCACATCATATCTCTTTTTGTTGGAGGATTTCCGAATCAGTTCTTTAATGATTCTAGCTCACATGAACGGTTAGCAGAGTGTAGTTTATATTAGAATGTTAAAGATTCCCTTACTCAGTCAGGCAAAGAAACAACATGCTATCAGCTTCGTTTTACGCCTGCGATGAAAACCAGAACCATCATCTAGTGCAGTAAACATACCATGCCAGGACTCTAAGTGCATTAAAACACTTGGATTGTTTGGTGTTCAGGCTCTGGGCCATGCACCCTTAAATGAATAATTTCAGACATCATAAAGGATCTTCATAAAAAATCTGTCACAACCTTGCAGCCTCATCAAAGCCCATGAATCAAAGTGAACCAGACTCGGTGGGGCTGGGTGCTGCATCAGCGTGAGTTTAGCTTGGTTGTTAAAGAGGATCTTCGTCACAGTAGAGATCCAAGTTTTTGGGGGTGGTTATAAGTTTATCCTGTCTCATGAGATCATCTTTCATCCGGAGCCAACTTAATCGCTGTAAACAGATATGTGCATATACGAATGTAAAATATGTAGGCAAAGGGAAACAATTTTGTGATTGGAAGCATTCTGGTTTCCGATTATATTATCTAAGTGGTTTTGACCAATCACATTTGAGCTGGCTTTGGTTGCATGCAGGTAAACGGTCTGTGTGAAGAGCAAAAGAGGTGGAACGCACTGGCCAGAATGCAATCTCAGAAACCCATTGGCTATCTTTTGGCAACTACTCAGCATTTTAATTGTATTTATCTGGATTCATACACAGATATCTGGTTATAGACGTCACCTCTCAACTCCAACTCCTTTCTTGTGAATACTGTTGATGGATCGGACTGTAAACAATGACCAGCGCACAAAAGAGGAATTCTTGGTCCAGATATCGGTTACCTGGATATCCTAGGCAATTCTCATTCCCAAGGCGTCAAATACCGACACTTTGTTACACACCTCGGCGTCTGATACAGACTACATAGGCACCCATAAGCGTCTGTATGAGACGCACGGGGCTTTCCAGTAACTACAATGTAAACCCATCTGCATCATTACTGAACGCTCTGAGAAAATGCTGTGGGAGTGTGATGATGTATTCAAAAGACCGAAAAAAAACAAAAACGTAACAAGACTTTCAACCAGGAGGCCTGTATTTGAGACCTTGTCTGAAAAGTGTTGTTAACTTTGTTGTGAAGTTTTCTGTTCCTTTGCTACATTGTTCACATTTCACTTTGTTTATGCACTTATTTTGAGCCCAACCATGTTTTTTTCCTAAACCTAACAACGTTTTTTTTTTGTGATAGCTCACAAAGTTAACCATTCGGGATGAGATGGTGTGGGGATGGTGAGCCAACTTTCTACCTCCCAAAAACTGAGCTGATAGGAACTGACTGATTGGGGGGGGACTTTACATTATTACATTACTTATCACAGTCCTAATGGGGGGAAATTGTTTTTTGAGTGTGAAATTCAAAAGAATTATACAGATGTTATTATTTCCAAACTTTGACTTTGGTTGTTATTTGTACACATGGGGTGTCACATTCTAATTCAGAGTTAGTTCATTTACCACCTGCCTTGATTCAACTTATCACCAATTATATCCTTGTTGCATCCTTGTACCAAAGCTTGATGAGATATAGAACTTTTTCCACACTGCCCCTGCTGCACTTGTGTTACCAATCATTTCGCTGTCTGGTTGCTCCAGACGTCTGTGCGGTTTTGATCCGTGCTTCACAGCAACCCAAATCCATAAAAAGTATTGGAGTTTGGTGCAGTGGCTCTTCCCTTCCCGCTGCCCTGAGGCTTGCTGATGATGGACAGACGATGATGAAAGGTCAGCCACTAATCGAGCTGGCCTGCAGGTTCATGCCACGCAGGACCCCAGAAGGCCCTCAGTAGAGAGCTGTAAAAGTGTAATGTTATGGCTAGTTGGTTTTGATGGTGCTGGTGTTGTACTGTTTTAATAAAAGCTGCTGCTCAGTAGCCCTAATTCTCCTCAAACCATCCATCAACACAGGAGTACAGCCATCTTTCCATTTACATTACTGCAGTTACATAAAGAGTACATAAATCACCCGGCACTCTTGATAAAAACTACATCAGATCCACTTATTGACCCAACACATGCGACTAAGAAATCAAAAGCTAGAAAACTAAATGAAACTTGCTTCACTGATAGTTTTCAGTGCCATATTTCTTAGGGAAAAACAGGCCCATATTCAGTCCAGAAGTAATCACACACTTAATGGTGTAAAAACAGATGGAGCCCCAGATTCATAATTGTGTTTACAGCTCCAAAACTTGCAGCTTGGGCATCTTTCACAGTGTTGGAAATTTCCTCATCTGAAGCATCCACAGATACTATGTCTCTGCAGCGATGAATAAGTATCCGATGATCTTACGAAGGAGATGAAAACATTAACAAGGCTTTTATGCGACCTTTGACGGAATAAATAACACAGTATTTCCTCTTAGAAATGGAAACTTACTTTTAGAGGCAATATAACAGACACCGGCTCAATTTAATACACTCCCAGTAACTGTGGCTTTTTTTACAGTGCTATTCCGCAGTCAGTTTTACAAATGTAGTGGCAATTTGAACCATGCTTCCAGAAAATCTGCAGACCAAATTGCAAATAAATGTTTGCACATCGACTAGGGTTGCTTTGCAAAATAGAGAAGCTGGCCAGAAAAAAAAACAAAAAAACAGCTGGTGGCAGTAATTCTCCAGTCGGGTGCAGTAAAACCATTGCAAAAGAGGGTGGACGTAATCAAAACACCCGCTAGTCAAGCCTCAGATGGTGGAAAACCATCATGAGTGACATTAAAATCGTCTCAAGAGAGACATTTAGTGACAAATAAGTCACATGTCATAATGTATTCGCTCAGTCTGTTTCCATTGCACGTTACCACATTGTTCAGCTTTTCCAAATAGATATTTTGACTTTTTTTTTTTTTTTTTTTTTTCTTTTTTTTTTTTTTTTAAATGGAGCAAATTGAGATTGCACATATGAAAACAGGCGGATGTAAACACACTTTTCTGACATGATCGTGCAGCTATTGTGGCATGTTGATGATGTTGGAGAGCAGTTTGATTGCACCCTCATTTCTCATTGATGGCGAAAGCGCACTCACCGGCAGCTCCCCGTTTAACCCTGCTCTGGTCGAAGTCGAGCGCCACTCGCCTCGTCTCCGACGAACTGCCCCATTAAAACGCAGCTTGTGGCAAGTGTCAGGGAGAGGTGCAGTGTGAAACATGAGAGCAATAACAGGAAAGGAGCACATCACATTGCGTCCCCCCTTTCCCTCCCGTTGGGGTGTTGATTGAACTGATGCGTCGCCCCAAACCTCGGGGGGGTAGAAAAGGTTCAGCCTGACGTCATTTAACAGACTCCCCCCCACACAAACACACACAGAGTTGTATGAGGAAGCTTATGAAGGAGCCCTACCTGCAGAGTCTCAGATGTGTATAAGGAATTACAGCTGGGGCCCCAGAGGCATGCAGTGTGATTTGTGCTAAGGCCGTGGTGAATTGCAGTCATATCAGAGCTGTCCTCTGGGCTTCTCTGGAACACCAAC